TGTTTATTTTAGAATACAAAGAAAACACAAGCAATCCTTTGCTGGTGTGTTGATTCCAATTCATGGCGACCTCACATGTTACAGAATAGAACTACTCAGAGGGCTTTCCTGACTCCACTTTGGTTAAGCGCTGTGCTGCTACGTGAAAGGTCAGAAGTGCCAACCCACAGCCTCTCAGGGAGAAAAATGAGGCAGTTTGGTCAATAAAGATTGGAACTCCTAAGGGGCAGTTGTACTCTCGCCTATAGAGTTACTATGAGTTAGAATCAACTGAAAGGCAGTGTGTCTTCTTTTTAAAAATGGATGTGGATGAGCAGATAAAGGGGTGGGAGAAGTGTAGTGACTTTAATTAGAAGGAATTGTAGGAAAAAAGACATTGGCAAAATAGTTACCCCAAGTCATTGTGAAACCTTGAATCAGGCATAAATAATGGTTTCTGACTTTCTGTTAATAGCCCACTGGCTCTCCTTAAAGAAAAACCAAAAAGGGGAACAGAAGGCCAAACAAATGACAATACATGGAGATAATGTGCATAAAGCAACCAGGTCAGAATCCGGTGTGCTCCATAAAGTTCTTTAGTCCTGGTGTCTGCTAAAGTGCCACAGCAGCATTCTAATAACACCTGCTTGATGTTTACTGATTGACCATGAACTAGGTTTAACCCAATAGGGCTGTATTTTATTTTATTTTTTTAGGACTGTATTTTAAACGAGGCCAAAGCACCTAGTGAAAGTACAGGGAAGTGAGTATGTTATTCAGGATTCAGACTCAGTGAATGGATCCAACCCAGGAGGCAGTGAGCATTAGTAGAATGACTTTGGGCACGTATGACTTTGGTTTAAACTTCTGCTTCCTTTTTTGTAAAATGGGGATTCCAAACAAACAACCCCCTACTCCCCCCAACTCAACTACCATCCAGTTGATTCTAATTCATAGCGACCCTAAAAGCACCCCATAAAGAGCCCTGGTGGTGTAAGGGTTATGCCTTGGGCTGCTAACCACAAGGGCAGCAGTTAGGCATCACTGGCAGCTCCGTGGGAGAAAGATGAGGCTTTCAGAAACCCATCGGGTCAGTTCTACCCTGTTCTATCATGTCGCTATGGAGATCCGGATAATAAGAAAAAAAACGATGCAAATTTATGCAGAGCATATTTAAAATTCATGATACAGAGGAAAAATGAAAAAACACATGAGGCAACTGATGTCAGAATTAGCTAAAATATAAGCTCTAATTGAGAAACATAAGTAATAGTATTAAAGAATAAATCTTGATAACAAAAAGAAAGTGAAGGAATAAAGCCTAACCACTGGTGTTGGCCATTTTTGTCTATTTGAAAAAACAAGGCCATTTTGTTTAGTACATGTTATAAAAAAGTAATACTAGTCAGCGAATAAAGCATTCTAAAAGTATATTCTAAATTTTAACGTGGTATTGATCAAGAATAGAAGTGTCATTGGAAGATCTATTTAATTTTGCTGTTATGTTTCATTTTAGCTATTTAAGTGCAAGCCATAAATTAAAAATAAAAAAATTTTTATTTTTAAATAAATAAAATTTGCTCTATCACAAATATTTTTATAATGTGGGGAAAATAAATCCTAGTGCTTTTCAAAGTACCACCATACTGAAATAATTAGGTTAGGATGTTATAATCCAGCGAGCATGGTAGAGTATGACATGTGAAGGGATGCGCTATAAATCCCTGTATGAAATAGAAAGTTTGGGAACCGTAAAATGTCCTGGCTTATATGCTCATCTCATTCTAGAAGTTGCCACAAAAGCGGAATTGGAAGCCTCAGACCTCATGAAACTTCCTATATATATTTTTTGTTGTTGTGCTTAAAAATTTTTTTTTATTAAAGGCTCATACAACTCTTATCACAATCCATACATCTATCCATTGTGTCAAGCACATTTGTACATATGTTGCCATCATCATTCTCAAACATTTGCTTTCTACTTGAGCCCTTGGTATCACCTCCTCATTTTCTCCATCTCTCCCCCCTCCCCCCCTCCATGAACCCTTGATAATTAATCAATTATTATTACTTTGTCATATCTTACACCATCCGACGGAAATTTCCTATATTTTTAATGTATACGATGGAATTAATTTTTCTTGAATATTACAGTCTGCCCGTTGCTATGAAAAAGAGAGAATGGGAGAGAATGTTCTGCAAAGCGCTTACCCAAAGTAAGAGGTTGGCAGAAGTTAGCTTTTCAGTAGTGCACTTAAGAACCTTGAGGACGGAATGATGCATCGTAGCGTCGGCCGCAGGAACCGAACGCAGGTGACCCGTTCCTAGAGGCGGTGAAAGCGGACTCGCGTTTTCAGCAGTGCGGTAGTTGGCCCTCGCCGGCCACCGTCCCCGAGCGTGCGTAATGACGTATCGCGACGTGCGTGTCATGGCGCGCTCCAGCTGAAGTCTGTGCGGCTTCCGGAGAGGAGCGTGTGGAGTCCCTAATTTCAGACGGGTGTGTTCCAGGTGGACTGCTGGCTAAGGGTGGTATGTAGATCCTCGTAGGGCAGCGTGTGGCCCCAACTCCTTTTATGGTGGAATCATCATGTCTGTTTCAGCCCTTCGTGGGCACTGGCGGGTTTGCTTTGCAGCTTAAAGGAGACTTTGCAGCTGGGTTGCAGAAGTTGGGGCACCGGGAGTGCAGCTGGGAGTGGGAACGGGGTGGTCGGCCTTAAATGTTGCTGGGCTTCAAGGAATATTTAAGGGACCTTAGTGTTTATGGATTGAGGGTCAGAACTAACTTCATTTGCTCTTCCACTTTAAATGTCAATGAATTTGTGAGCGGCATCAAGGCTGTCGCAGCTACGTAGCTTTCGCAGAGAGCCGCGTCTTAATAAGAAATTTTAATGGAAGTGGACCCGTGCAGCACGTGTCTTGCTTTTCCCATTTGGTTGTCGTGGACCCACTGAACTTCTTTCTGGTAGGAGGTGCTCTGGGTACTGACAAGGGTAAGTCAAAAAGTATTGCTACAAAACCGTAGACGTCTTTATTAAACGAAGAGATCACAATTAGAAACCATTGTTTCTCGATATATTCTTCATCTAGATCTATACACTGCCAAGGGTAAGTCGTCCCATCTCTGGAACCCTGCCCGAAGAATCTATGCTCTGAAACTTGCACCCCATCTAAACTGAAGTTTTGGCATCCGCAAGGGACTCCTATCATCTACCTTTTACTTGTGTTTTGAATTTGGGGAGTAGAAGGAGGTCCAAAAGGCAGGATTGGGGCTGTAGTCTTGCAGGGCAACTCTTGTTCCCTGTGCACAAGTGCATTGTCGTGATGGCCAGAAATTCCATGGTACAACTTTATTGACGTTTGTCTCACGCATATAGTTTTCAATTTTCATAAGCTTCTTGATAATAACTCTGCTTTCATCCTGTGTCCCTTTGAGGAAAATCTATCAACATTATCCCATTGAGTTTTGTAAAAATAGTTGCCATAACCTCTGCCTTTAATTTCAGTGGCCCAGCAGACCCCTCGGAAGCCAATGTTTTAATGGGACCTTGCTCTCTGGATCACACTGGTAAATCCAACCCTCATTAGGGTTGCTGCCCTAAGTTCTTTTTCATTCACCCTGATCTTGTGCGAAAGGCTGATGGCGAGATCAGCTCTTTGAGGCACCTGAGCTTGGAGTGCCTCTGGCACCCATTGAGAGCTGAACACTGGCTGAGGCCAACAGGCTCCCTTAAAACTGAGAATGCCAAACTACGTGAGATTCCAACATCAGTCATGACCGGACCAGTGAACTTTGTCGTCTTCCATCAGTGACTTCAACCACAATTTCTTCGTTCAACGAGGTTGTCAGTCTTCCCTGTCTGGCCTCATCTTTGAGGCCTTCCCCTTCCTTAAAATACTTGATTCATCTAAAAACGTACTTTATGCAGCACAGCATCCTCATAAACCTGTGGCAACTCTTCAGTCATTTGGGAAGCTCTCTGTTTGAGTTTTGGTATAAGCTTCTATCAACCTGATCTCAAAATAGTTTTGTTTCCATGGCACATTATGTATTATTATTATTATTTTTGAAGGTACTCAAATGAGGCTTAGAGAAGTGTATTGCAAAGAGAACTTGTCTGTGGCCAGAGACATGTTGAAGTACATCTTGTTTGGAATAAATCCCTGCATGTACCTTGCTAGTAATACTTTTTGAATTATTCTTGCACATCATTGTTGTTTATAAGTTGAAGGTATTGCTTGTACTCTGTTATGTGCCTCGTGGTGCTGGATATTTATTGCTGGGGGGCCTGATCGCAGCCAGAGTAAGTATGTAAGACGTCAAAGCACCTGTCCTAACAGTATGGATCTTGAAGTAGTATAGAGCATCAATAACCCTGTTGAAGAAAGCCGTTTTTCCTGGGGTCTAATTTCTTTCTTTCTTTTTTTAAAATCATTTTATTGGGGGCTCATACAACTCTTACCACAATCCATCCATTTGTCCATTGTGTCAAGCACATTTGTACATCGTGGGTCTAATTTCCCTTCAGGTAGTGTTCAAGGTCCTTACTGTGGTTTTATCAACTTGTTGACCATTTGCTTTTACTCATTAGTTTTTATTTTCCAGGCTCATTTTTTTTTCCAAGAGGATTTGAGACTAATTGCAGATAATCAAAGTACCGATTTATTCAAAACCTTTTATGTTTTGAGTGGCATGCTACTCATTGGTATGTGCAGAATGACAGCCTATTCTCGTGTTAATTTTGCCACCATTAATTCATAGAAACATCGTGATCTCCAGATCACTAAATCCAAGAGATAGTTCCATTCCCTTAAATCTTTTGCTTCCATTCAGTAGCACCGATCATGGCCACTCCTTGGCAGGATCTCTTCCTTTGCCTTTTATGCCCCTCAAATTTTCTCCTTCGAAGGTGGCTGCTCGTTGATCTCCATCCTAGACTGACAGTGCAGGTTGGCATTTTGTAAGAAAATGCTCTCTCCTCTTCTGATTCTTGGGTTTTTCTCTTTTCTTTGTGTGAATTTACCCACCCCGACTCCTTCAGTTAATGTGCATAAATAATTGATTATTGTTTGTCTCTTCAGTGTAAACTTATTTTTAAAACTCTGGTAAGGACTACCTGTTTAGTGTATTTAATAGCGCAGAGATATTTCAAACTCAGTGGTTTCTAAGCTTCTCTTTTATAGCGTGTCTTGGTTTGGAGTTCTTCAGAGGATAGCAGCAGTCTAAGTATAGACAACTCGGCCAGACACCTTGATGCCATTCTTGGCACATTCTTTTTTCTCTCTTGATTCAATCTGAAGATTATTCTCTTGACTCCTTTTTAATCAATACCATTTCATTTATTTGATGCTCTGGCTATCACATGGGCATTTTGTGAAAACGTAGATTCTGATTCAGTAGTTTCTGGGGTGGCAGCACATACTCTATGAAAGTAGACTGCCCCATCTTTCTCTCAAAGAGGAGTAGCTGGTGGTTCAAATGGCCAGACTCTGTGTTAGCAGCTGAGTGCTTGCTGTAAGCACAACTACATCACCAGAGTTTCTTGTGACCACTTTGTCTCCAGTTTTCTGCTGTTGTTCTCTCATGAGTCGGGACTTCACCCCCCTCTCTCTACTAAAACCACTCGATGGGGTTGCAGTGGTTCCCCGTGCTACACAATGACCATCTTATCGGTCTCATCTGCAGTATTTGATACCCTTGACCACTCATTGGCTTCCAGGACACCAGACTTTGCTAGTTGCTCTGCCACATTAGCTGCTTCTCAAGTCTACTTTGCTGGTGCCCACTCATCTCCCCAGCGTGTCAGTGCTGGAATGCCCCCATGGCTTTCTCACGGACCACGTCCCTTCTCCAGTTATACTTACTCCCCGGGCTACCACATCCAGTCCCCTGGCCTTGAAATACCAACACTATGCTTATGTCACCAGCCCACCGCTTCCCCTGAGCTTAAGGCTCAGAGATTCCACCGTATTCAAACACCCCTCCTAGCATGTCTGCTAGTTACTCCAAACTTTAAAAATCCTCAACAGAACTCCTGGTCACATCCCCACCTCAACCTCAACCCTACACTGCACACCCCACACCCCACCTGTCCCTCACACTCCCAACATACATGGCAGCCACCACCATCACCACCCCCCCACCCCCCACTTCACCACTGGAGGTCCCCCTTTGGGTTGTCCTCTCCCAGTTACAGGCAACCCTAACATGCTTAGATCAACAATCTTGAAATCATTCCCTGTCCCTTCCCTTCCGTCCTTTTCCCTAAGTTCCGTCCACCCAGAAAAGAGATCAATGCACAGCCTCAGAAATTCAAAGGGACAATTGGTTCTACTCTGTCCTGTAGGGTCCCTATGAGCCAGAAAGCCCCCGATGGCAGTGAGCTGGTGTTCAGTTGTAGACTATATCCAGAGAGACTCGAATGCTTCCAAAGAGTAAGTGATTCAGAGAGAGGGCCTTGCTAGAACACTGCAGGATGAAGTAGGCCAGAGAGGAAGGGGTCTTCTTCAGGACAGTTTGCTTGTAGCAACAGATAAGATGCCAGTGTCCCCGGCAGAGAACCATCTTCTCTGTGCAGAGTGTGGCTCGTGTCTTGAAAATCTGTCTTACTCAGTCCTCTTTCCAGTCCCAATGGATCCCTTGGATGGCACACGTGTTTGAATGGTCCATTGCTCTCTGAAAGCTGCCACCCATGTTATTTTGCTTTTGAGAAAAGCATTGGAATGGGATCCTTTTGTGAAATGCTTTGATGGCCAATAAAGTGCTAAAATATGGATTATTACTGCACAACTTCAACTAGCTAAGGAAATTGATGGCAGGCTGCATATTCAGAGGTTTTGGTTAAGCTTTAAGCTTTTTTTTGGATGATATAATGCATGATTGATTATTTTCTATTACATATTTGGTAGAATTCTCTAGTGAAACAGTTTGGGCCTGGAGCGCTCTCTCTCTCTCTCTCTCTCCCTCTCCCTCTCCCTCTCTCTCTTTTTTTGGGGGGGAAACATTTAAAATTTTAATTTTTTTAATCAGAAAAATGGACATTTCATTCTTGGTGGATTTATTTCCTTAAAAAGTTAAGTAGTAAAACTACTAATTATTATATTTGTTGAAAAATGTGATGAGCTACTGAAAGTGGGATATAAATTCAGCATTTTCACTAAACAGGAAAGACCAGCTGCTAGAGAAGGACATCATTGTTTGGGAAAGTGAGGGCCACTGAAAACAGGGTAAGTCCTCAGTGAGATGGGCTGACAAATAGTCCAGACAGTGGACCAGGACATACCGATACCAGGAAGATAGCGCAGGACCGAGCAACGCTTGTAAGACAGAAGAGCACCATGAATTGGAGCCTCTCTACAGCAGCTGACCAGTAGAGGACACATACTGAAGCAAAGTAAATCATACACGATTATTTTATCCATTTGGAATTTTTTGAAGACCTAAAAAAAAAAAAAAAGCATAACTTTTGGTTTTATAAAAGTGTTTAGTATTAATTGTTGTTCACGTAACATTTAAAAATATTAGGTGAAATTCCTTAGTAGTCATACAGCTGTTTAAACGATTTGCTTCACATTGGGTGAGTGGTGGTAGTTTATGTTGCTCAGGAATTGGCAAATCTTATCTAAGTCGTCAAATTTATCTTGCAGAGTTGACTAACATATTCCCTTCTTTTCCTGAGTGTCTGTAGTGATGCCCTATTTCACTCTCGGCATTAGTAATCTCTATCTATTCTTGCTTGTTGTTGTCAGTCCTACTGGAAATATGCCAAGTTTATTGAGTTTTTCAAAGAATGAGCTCTTTTTATTTGTTATCTTGCATTATTTTCATTGAATTCCCCCCCCTGCTTTCAAAAAAACCCTACTTTATTGAATTTTCACTACTGATTTTCTGCTCTCCTTTTCATTGATTTATTCTTTTGGTACTTTTAGCATTATTTTCGTTTTTTGTTTTCTTTTTGACACTTAAGGTAGGAGCATGAATTATATGAGAGGTGATCTCTTTTCTAATGCATTTAGCACTCTATATGACCCTCCGAGCATTGCATTAATGGTGCCCCATCTGTTTAGATGTTGTGTGCGTGTGTGTTTATTCAGTTCTCTTTTTTTACCTCTTGGAACTTACTCTGTGAACTGTGGATTATTTAGAAGTGTCTTACTTAGCTGTATGTCCTCTGAGCATTTGAGAGGAATATATACTCGGGTTCCCAAAAAGCCCCGCAATTTCTCCCCAAAAGCCATGTATTTAAATATTTTTACAAACTAACCTTGTCACCTTGAAAGTACTCTCCATTACACTTAATACATTTGCCAAATCTGCGATTCCATTCTTGGAAACATTTTTCAAACTCATCTGTTTGGATGGCTGACAGCACCTCCCTCGTTTTTTTCTTCACCTCTTCTATGTCTTCAAATCACTGTCCTTTTATATCCCTCTTAATTTGCGGAAACAAAAAGAAACCTCATGGAACGAGGTTAGGTAAGTGAGGTGAGTGGGGGCAGGAAAGGCAGGATGTTTTTGCTGAACCCTGGAGCACTGAATGGCTGCATGAGCAGGCGCATTGTCGTGGTGGCAAAACCAGTCCCCCCTGTGTGCCACAAGTCAGGTCTTTTTTGAAACACAGTTACGCTATCTTTTCACAGTCTCTAAATAGAAAGCTTAGTGAACAGTCTGACCTGGTGGAATCAACTCCAAATGCACTATCCCCCTGACATCAGAAAACCAAATGAGCATTGTTTTGATCTTTGATTTCATTTGACGAGCTTTTTTGAGTTTTTTTTGGTGTGGGGGGGGGGATAAAGTGACGAAGGGATCTTCTACTGGCTTGATTGATGGTTGGCTTTGGAGCTGTACTTTCAAAGAATTGCATATGTCCACTTGATGCTCTTCTTGCTGGTCAGTCAGAACCTGAGGCACACATCTTACAGCGACCCTTCTTATTCCCAAATCTTCCTTTAAAATTTGCTGAACCTGACCTCCAAGATAGCCCAGATAACTTCCCCATCTCTTCGATGGTCTATTGTCATTGGTCTTTGAGCACAAGTGCACAAATTTTGTGAACTTTTTCGTCTGTTTGGGAAGTTGACGGACCTCTAGAACGAGATTTGTCATTAATCGACATTTCACCTTTTTTGGAATGAGAAAACCACTTGTACACTTGAGTTTTTTTCCATGGCGCTGTCCTTGTAAGCAGTGTTCAACATCACAATAATTTCTGTGGCATTTTTCCGTAGCAGGAAACAAAATTTAACAGCACACACTGTTCTCTGAAATCAGCCATCACAAAAAAACAAGGTTGGCGTCAAGCTGCTTTTATGAAAAAACTCACTTTGACCAGAGAGAACCTTCCCAGGTGATGCCATTGGGTGCACTAACTCAGAGTGGGTTGCTTGATGCCCGCCTCATGGAAAAATTGCATACTACAAAACTTCGTCCAGCAGAAGTTTTCTCTGGTTCTTTTTGGGTAACCCCTCGTATTCTGATTTTGTTGGGTGGAGTTTTCTATAAATGTTAGTTGGATCCTCCTGGATAATGGTGTTATTGAATTCTAAATCGTTGCTGATTTTCTGTTTAGTGCTATCTACTGGTGTGAGAGAGATGTTACAGTGTCCAACTCTAGTTGGGAATTCATGTGACTTTTTTTCATTAGCTCAAATTTCTGCTGCCCATTTTGTAACTCTGTGGCTACATACATACACATTTAGGCTTGCTATATCCTCTTAGTGATTAACTGTTTTTATTACATCATGTTCCTGTCTTTCTCTGGTTATTTCACGGACTGTGAAGTATGCTGTGTCTGATATTGACATATCTCCTCTCCTTTTAAAAAAAAAGAATTAAAATAAAAGATTTCTTTTGATTAATATTTGCATGATGTAACTGTCCAGTCTTTTATTTTCAAGTTATAATTAAATTGAGTTTCTTATAGATAACATATGGTTGTGTTATATCTTTTAGTCAACTCTATCAGTCTTTGTCATTTAATTAGTTTTTCAGACCATTTATATTTAATGTATTTGTTGATGTTAAGGCGTAAATCTACAATTTATTTAAAAAATTTTCTGTTTATACTTGTTTTTTCTTTGTTTTCTTTCCCCTGCCAGTTAGTGGGTTACTTGACCATTTCCTAGAGCTTCACTTTGATTTTTCTGTATTGTTTTTAGAGTATCTCTTTTACAGCCTTTTTAGGGATTGCTCTAGGTATTATTTACATTTACAAAACTAATCTCAGTTTACTGGTATCATTCTTTTACCAGGGCAAGTAAAGTATAGAACCCATCTTTCACGTCTGTCTCCTTGTCCATTCTTCATTTGTAATATCACGGTCTTAAAGGTCTTAAATACCCTTAGGACCACCCCGGACAGCATTGTACTTTGCGTCAGCCATCAGACATGTCTAGAAAACTGGAGGAGGAGTACCTAGCATATATATTCGAGTATAAGCCAACCCGAGTATCAGCCTAGGCACCTAATTTTATCACAAAGCTGCATTAAAAATGTGCTGAAAAAACTTGGCTTATACTTGAGTATACACGGTATATTCAACTTTCTTGTGTTTAACTGATGTTTTGAATTCCATGTTTTATTGTTTCCTTTCTCTTGAGTGCTTTCTTTAGCTATTGCTTTAGGATAACTCTCCTTTTGGGAATCCTTCAGTTTTTTTCATTTGGGAATGTGATAATTTTCCCTTTAGCCCCAAAGGAAATTTTCTGAGTATTTGCGTTGACAGTTCTCATTTTTGCCCTCCATAGTTTCTGATGAGAAATACACATATCCCGTCGTTTAAGCATATGTTAAGCATTTATTTCTGAGTGACTCAAGTTTACATTGTTGGTAATGTTTTTATGTGATAGAGAAGATGCCTTCTGCATCCTGTGACACACTACTGGATGACATAGAAGATATTGTGACCCAAGAAGATTCAAAGCCACAAGATAGGCATTTTGCAAGAAAGCATATTGTTCCAAAGGTGCGAAAACGAAATTCCCAGAAGTACTTGCAAGAGGAAAACAGCCCACCAAGTGATAGGTAAGCTTTTTCCATTGAAATGAAACTCACTCTCATGCTAGAGGAGAAGCAGGCTCTACTGGCCTGTGGCAGGTACATAATGTCTCCTTTCCAAATCTTTGAACTCCTGATAAGGAAATATATACGTTTCTTTCTTTGAAAGATTTTATTTATTTTTTCTTTTTCAATGGTTTTAAATTTGGCTAAAAAGAGAAAAAGAAACCAAATTACATGTTTTGTAAAGCCAGTTGAGCAAAAAAAAATATCTACCCATTATATCTTTGATATTACTGTAGTTGTGTAATTCTGTCTTACGTCTCTGTTAAGCACTTTAGTAGACTTGAGACTTTTATGAGGGTGTGGTTTATAGGCATTTCATATTTGTTAGTCAATTAACCAATACTTAAGGATCAGCTCCTTCAGACAAGGCATTGAGTACAACCAGATTGTCGCCCTGTTTACTCTGCCATAGTAAGTCTCCCTCCTGGTTAGAAAAATTCTAATAATGGCTCAGCCAGAAAGGGTTATATAGTTCTATAGTTTTAATAAGTTTTTATTTGTTTGTGTAGTATATTGTTGCAAGTTTTAACACACTGATTATTTTCTTTGGAACATTGCTTTTAAAATTATGGATCTTTATATTTGCTTATATGTTAACATTTGAAAATTATCAAATTTGCCTGGGATGTGTCTTTCATATAGTTTCTGTTTAGTAAATTATTAGAGCAATCCCAAGTGAATGTTGCCTCTACCCTTAAAAATACTAAATTTTTAGTCATGTATTTTTCGTATATGAAATGTGTTCAATGTGGAAGCTTAGGATGCTAGGTTTTTATTTTGGTTAAGTGAATGATCTCTTAAGCCATAATGTGTAAATATTACCATTGGTAGATAGGTAGGAGTCTTTCTGAGGAAACCCCCCCCCCAAAAAAAAGCCCCAAGCAGACAAAACAGAATAAAAACCAAACTTACTCCCATTGAGCCAGAATGGATGCACTTACTTTTTAATTTCTTTGTTACCCTGCTCAGCCATGTCCTCTGCTGCTGTTACTTGGGTGTGTCTTCCTAGGAGCGGAGCTTAGTGACAGTGCTTCAGTGGCACTGCATGAGAAATAAAAACATGATTCAGAGCAAAGGAGTTTTTTAAATGTATGTAGTTTTAACGAATTACACTTTTGTGGTTATGTCTGTTGATTTGAGACTTTTAATCTATCTGTCAGTAGAATATACATTAAGTTGGTGCATGCATCCTAAAGCAAGTGAGAACATTGCACTGAGCTTACTTTTTGCTCAGTATGCCTTCGATCAGCTAGTGGTGTTTCCTTTAAAATCATTTCATGAGGCTTTTCTCTTTTAATGCTTGCTTACCAGCATTATTCCAGGCATCCAGAAAGTTTGGATACGAACGTGGGGTTGTTCGCATAATAATTCAGATGGAGAGTATATGGCCGGACAGCTAGCTGCCTATGGATATGAAATTACAGGTAATATAATATGTAATGCATTGGATTGATTAAATTTCTCAGGCTTAACCTTGTTAGGCATATACTTTCTAGCTTCAGTGATTAAATTTTAGTATAACAACATTATTTTTTAAGGCAAAATAAAATGATACATTGCTTAGGTAAGAATGAAAGCCATATTAAAAAAATATGCCCCTTTTTTTATTGTGAAGTAACTTTAGATTTAAAGAAAGGCAGTGGCAATTGTAGAGTTCCCGTATGCCTGTCACGGTTTCCTCACAGTTTCCCATGTCTGTCTTAATCACAGGTCATCGGTAAGCTGGGAAAGCAGTGCGTTAGTACAGATAGCTAACTTGCAGACCTTCCCTTAAACGCACTAGTTTCCTCACCGGGATTCTCTCTTGTCATGTCTCCCTAGTCTCCTCCCTGGACACTTGTTTCTTTTGTGACATGTTTCTCAGTTTGGCCTTGTCTGAGTCTGCCTCAGTGAGGAAGGGGCTGTGCAGTTCTGGAAGGAAGACCACAGCAGGGGGAGTGTGTGTGTGCTCAGTGCTGCCAGTCAGAGGGCCTGAGGTCCATGTGTCCCGTTGCACTGCTACACCGCCCTTGTTGCGCGGACGCCTCCCGAGGAAGCCAGTGCCTATTTTCCTCATTATAACTGAGAAGTCTCCGCTTCTCCTCAGCCGTGCACCTCCTAGTTTTCACGCTTTGTTGGTGCTCCTTGTCTGCTACCGCTCTCAGGTTTGCCTAGTGGTGACGGCCTGTATCCTTGATTCCTCTTGTACTAGTTGAAATTCTTCTGTAGAGAAACATTGTCCTCTCTCCCCCTTCCTCTTTGTATCAGCGTGAACTCCTGGGTGTTAATTTTATCACGTGGGTTACAAACTGGTACCGTCCCTGTTTGTGGCTCACAGTGCCCCTGGGTGGGGCGGTAGGAGTGCATTCACTCTGGCTGCTGTGTTTTCAGCATTTCTCCGACGTTTCCTGGACACTTCAGCGTTTCTGGCATCAGGACTCCTCGTGTATTCTCCTTCTGCAGCCCTGGAGGCCCCTGCTTTTCCGAGGAGCCCAGCTTCCTTTCAGCAGGAGAATGATGAGTCGAAGGAGGGCTGGACATCAGGGGTGCTCAATGCCAACGTGACCCAGGACGTGGCAGTGCTTCAAGGCAGACACATCTCCCTTTCTCTGTGTGTGTGAACACGCGCACGTGGTTAGTCTCCTTTGCATACTTAGTACTTGTCCTTGAATATGCTGTCCAGTGGAATGAGGAAATGCTGCTGTCCGTAATTCACAGGCGAGAACAGTGGAGGCGGTACCCCTCGAAAACAGTGCGCCTGGTCGTGGTTCTCTGAGTTCATGGTTGCCTTTGCATGTGTGTTTGGCACATGCTAGCTTCAAGGTTGCGTGTAAGGATGGAGTAGGAGTGGAACCTTACTCCTTTCATTGCACCGTTTCTCTGTCACGAAGATGTCATGTCATTGATTGGCTTTGATCACTTATGGGTGACAGCTGGCAAGGCCAAGGACACATTCCTCACACAGCAAACATAGCCTGGCCACTTGTTTTTCTCTTTTGGTTAAAAAACTCAAGATGTGTTTCCAGAATTAATCCTCTGTATTTCTTAGTAATTTTTAGTTATGATTTATCTTCAGCTTATCCTAATACTTTCTCATGCTTCAGTCCTTCAGATAATTTCCCGAAACAGTAAAACATAATTCCAGAGGTGGGATATTTTCTAGGCACTATTTAGTATCTAGCACATTTAATTTTAGTTCATGAACAGTTTGTGTTTAATTTTCTAAGAGCCTTCTTTTAGAGACAGCAATAGTCATGATATGTTTACACACTTACCCGTGAACATTCAGCTTTGTTATACATGTCTAACTTGGATTCTTTAATAGAGAGCAGTGAAAGGGAGAATCAGAATGAATCCCTAAAATATAAAATTTATTTTTAGTGCAGTGTTTTACATTTCCATTTTTTATTAATTTTATATACCATTGATTGTCCCCGTGTTAGGAATTTGTTCTCAGTTTTTAATTCGGATGAAGCTTGCAGGCACCAGACCTTAATGTAGGACCTCCTCCTGACTGTAGGTGCTGAAGGCCCAGGAAAGGGAGGCGATAATGGCTGCTGTGTTTAGGCGTTGTGGAGCTGCTTCTGACAGATGGCAACCCTCCCTCCATACAGTAGAATGACACGCTGCCCAGGCCTTGACCACCTCCCGATGGCTCGGTTGGAGCCCATCCTTCTTGTGGAGGATCTCCCCTTTTTGGGATGACCTTCCACTGTGTCAAGGATGACGTCCTTTTCCAGGGACTGTTCTCCCTAATAACACGTCCAAAGTCCGGGAGATGCAGTCTCACCAACCTCCCTTCTAAAGAGCATCCCGGCTGAACTTCCTCGAAGACAGATTTTTATGTTATTGCAAGGCATTTCAGGATATCGGCCCAGGTCTTATATTTAGATTAGAAAGACGATATGAATGATTGCAGGATTCTCTTGCTGATAGTTTTGTGATTTTGAGGGGAATACAAAACAGAAAACCAAACTCACTGCTATCGAGTCAATTCCTATTCATGGCACCCCATATGCTATGAGATAGTTTATTGTGCCAGCCTGGCCGATAAACACAAGTGGGATTAACTGAAGGGCAGAGAGATAA